GATTAAATAAAGTCAACAATAGGTCAAGAAACAGAACAAGCAACCAGTTGAGAGGGAGCGAACAAAAAACAACTCAGGAAAGAGAAAGGAGGGTCTTTGAGTTGAAGGGTATTTAAGAATGAAGAAGTAGAAGAAGGACAAGGAGGAGAAAGAAGAAGAAGAGGAAGAAGAGGAGGAAGAGGAGGAAGAGGAGGAAGACGAGCTTTTTCCTTCTTGTGCATCAGTATCCTGAGTCTTCATTTGGTAAAATCAAATATTTAGGATTTTGTTAAAACAACAAACAACCAGGACATAAGAGTGTAGAAACATTTTGTTACTCATAGCAGTGAGATTGTCTGGAACAAAATGCGATCCCTAAATGAAGATTGAAGGGGCCTTTTACAGTGTAACCTATACATATCATCCACACAAAACACAACTCTCACCTCAAAGGGAAAAAGAATTGATTCATAAACAAGATATGGATGATCATGAACATACATAAATTTAGATTGCTCTAACTGGTATCTTCCAGTGTGGAAATTGTTTCATGAAACTTCTATATCTCTAGAGTAAAATAAAGTCAGAAATCAAGTCATTTCACAAATACAGATGGAAACAGATAGACTGGTTACAAAGAAACAGGAAACTTTTAGCTCTTGGGTTGGTAGAAATTAGCTCTCTGTTATTGTACCCTAGGAGGTTTTAGCTTATGGTCACATAGATGTTCAGATACAAAGGTGGACAATGATTGGTTATTTTAGGCACTACGATTCTTAGTATTGTCAGGTTGACACAATCTACAACAGCCTGGGAAGAGAATCTCAAGAAAGGGTTGTCTGGATAAGGTTGGTCTGCAGGCATGTCTATGGGGGATTGTATAACATATTATTTGAGGTAGAAAGACCTGGTCACTGTGGGCAGCACCATTTCTTGGGTGTGTATCCTGCAATGGATGAGAGCAGGGAAGCAAGCTGAGCACTAGTTTGCATGCATACATTCATTCTCTCTGATTTTGACTTTGAATGTGACTAGCTGTTTCAAGTTCTTGAAACCTTAACTTCCTTGAAATGATGGACCATAGCTTGAAAATGTGAGCTAAAACCTCTTTTCCCTGACAGGCTTTTTTTTCAGGGTGTTTTGTTTGTTTGTTTGTTTTTTATCACAGCAACACACAAAAAAATGAGAATAGATACATACTAAAGATAGCCCAAGATAATTTGGCTGTGGATCTACTGTATTCTACGTCTACAACCACAAAGTTCCAATCACTCAACCAGTTTTGTAGAATCCTTAATGAAAGTGTGGCTTTTTTTTTTCTGGGAACTTTACTTCATAATGTTCATATAAGAAAACACATTTCTGGAGCCTTGGCTCTGTAGTAAAGGACGTTTGTTGCTCTTGCAACTGGGTTCAGCTCCTAGCACTCACAACTATCTGAAACTCCACTTTAGGGGGATCTAACCCCTTCCATGGCACCAAGTACGAATATGGTACACATACATACATATAGGCTTTCTCAGTTTAGATGCATTTTTATTGTTTTTTAAAAAAATTTGTTTGTTTTCAAGACAGGCTTTCTCATGTACACATGGATATCACTTTGTAGATTAGGGTGTCTCTCACCTGCCTTTGCCTCCTGAGTTCTGGGATTAAAAGCATGCACCACCACTGGCCAGCAGATGTACATTTTTGAGTGTGCTACACTTAGGTTCACAGATTCAAAAAAGAAAGCAAGAGAAACTAACACTTCTGGGTAGAGAATTTAGTATTATCATGAGCAAAGTAATCGAAAAGAATGAGTCAGAGTGATTTGGTGGCCTCAGTGGCTTCCTCATAATTTTTTCCAAAGACCTCTAGTTAAAAAAAAATAACTTTGAATGTACATTAAGGACTTGAGGGTGTGGTAGAAAGGATTATTTTTATGTAGCTCAGGCTGGCCCCAAATTCCTGATACTTTTCTTTTCTTAGTCTCTAAAATGCTCGGATTACAGGCATTGGCATATTCCAGCCCAGCTAACTCTTTTAAAGAGTCACCAGTTTTCTCTATACATCCATTCATGAGTTTTTCCCTAGAGGTACCTTCTTCACTTAGCAGGTAGCAAAGTACCCTGGATTCAGACAAATGATGCAAATCTCTGTTGAATCTTTCTACAAATATTGCTTATTTACTTACTCTTAGGTGTATAAATGATGACCAGGAGCCTGTCTCTCCAGCCATTCTATGCTTTACTAATAATCTCAGTCTAAGGCAGCATGTTGTAGTGAACAATGTTTAAGTGCTGGGTTCAGACAGGGCCAAGGTATAACCTCAAAATACATTTATTGACTATATTCTATTTAGCATGCATTACAGGCCTCTTCTATGGCTTGCTTTGTTTTTTCCATCTGTGAGATAGGAAATGAATGCAAGGTTCAAATGAGGCAAAAGGAGACATAATGTCTCCTTTTCAAGTCAGGGTCAAGACACAGAATGTTCATCAAGAACTGATTTTGAGGGAATTGTTTCCTATGAAGAGAACTTTTGGTGGCCCTTTGTTGTGACTGCTGATTGCAGACATCTGGAAACTATGACAACCAGTTTGCTTTGAATTCAACTTGGCCTCAAATAATGCTCTCTATATGGCAGCTTAAAAGCTTTAGTTTTCCTCAACACATCATAGTTTGTCTTAAATTTGGGCAAAAGAGTGGTTGCCAAAGGAAACGCAAGTCTGGAAGGATCTGAGGTCTGATCCCAGTCCTGTATAGTCCCATTAGGAAAGTGTACCTGGAGTTTTCATGTTTTTTTTTTTTTAATTAAAAATACATCGGAGAATTTTAGTATGGTATTTCAAGTGACAGATATGGATGTCATGAAGGGGATAAATTGACTTCCTCAAATCTGCAGAGAGAATCTTCAGAGATACGATGTAGAGTTGAAAGAAGATGTAATAAATGCAGGGAATGCAGGAGAGAGTAGGGACCAAATAAGCTACTTTTGCTTTCAAAAACCCTATACCTAACACCAGTGTCTACTGTCACTAGGGAAGGTAGTAAGATCTGGCCAGCTGAACATGCCATGAAAGGCTGGGCTGGGGTTCAGTGAAGAGTACTTTCACAGCATGGATGCAATCTTGCATTTGATTCCAGGAAAACAAATAACTAAACAAAATTTCTAAACACACCTTAAAATCAGCATTGAATCACAATTTCAAAACAAAACAAAACAAAACAAAATGAAGTTTTGTAAAATATTCCTAGCATTATTGGGTCTTTTGAATCACCTCCTTTCATTCGATGAGTGAAAAGGTATTTTAGGATCAATATTAATTATGCATGAAGTCAATTGATAGTGATATCTTTTCAATATGTCAAGCACTGTTCTGGGTGCCTGGGATACAAAAGCTTTGGAACAAAAAACCTTCCAGATGTCATCTGTTGTACAGATCAAATACTGGTAAATATAATTTTGGGGGGGAGGGGGTTAAAGAATACTAAAAAGTAAAAGTCAGCTATCTACATTTTCTCTCTTTCTTACCTAAAAAGCTTCCACTTTTCTCTTCTTTCTTTGGTTCCCAGAAGGACCCCTTTAACTTCAAAAGACAATTTTAGGTCTCCATGTATGCTGCATCATCACCTTCCTGGTCTGCAGTCAGAGAGGCACAACTGTAGCTGAATACAATGATCTCTCCTCTAGATGAGTGTGAAGCCTACTAGCATAACCAGATGTGTACAGAAAGATTTATTACTTGCAGCACCTAAGGAGAACATTGACATTATCTGCAAAACACCAAGCCCATCAAATAAAGTGAGGACGTTTTATTTCAGAAGCTTACACATACTTGTATACGAAAGGAGACATTGGAGGCACTTCTGAGCTTGCTTATTGTAAGGTGTCCATCACTGAGCATGTTCAATTTAAGGTCATGTATCACAGGCTTTAAAGGAAAGATGGCAGACATGAAATTTTCATGCATTTGGTTTAGGATTTAAGAGTAAAGTTACCTTTATGTGACCTTGACTGTTTCTTTAAATGTTTCTCCTATAAATTTTCAGGTGGAGGTAAAAGGGAAGATTTCTCCTTTGTAAATATAGCTTGTCCCTAAAGATACTTGCTTAGCGGTTGTTTCTACCTGAATGTGGGGTTCTGTACAGCCTGTAGTGAATAATAAGTGAGAGTAAACACATTGCTAGGATTTTAAAAATACATACCAGAATATTTCACCCTCATCTGTTGAAGTCAAAGGCCTACTGAATGAAATTACAACAAAACAAACCCATGTAATAGAAGTGAATTATACTGGGTATTACATGTCATATTTGAGAAACTGCCAGAAAATTTTACTATGGTTCAACAGGAGACAAACTTCCTCAAATTTTATACCTAAGTGCTTCCATCTTACCTATTTTCTAATCATGTCTAGTAGAACACATGGTGTGCCATTTAACTGTCTTCCTTCTTATTTATATTTAATACCAAGTGGTTAAACTCAAGCTTGATTACCCTACATTTGTCCTTTGAATTAATATGGAAAAGGAGCAGAGGATTTAGTATGGAAAAGGAGCAGAGGATTTTCCTTTTTTTTGTTTTTTGTTCGTTTGTTTGGTTTTTCGAGACAGGGTTTTGTAGTCCTGGCTGTCCTGGAACTCACTCTGTAGACCAGGCTAGCCTCGAACTCTCGAACTCAGAAATCTGCCTGCCTCTGCCTCCCAAGTGCTGGGATTAAAGGCGTGTGCCACCACCTCCCGGCTTTGTTTTTGTTTTCCTTTTTTTTTTTTTTGAGGATTTTCAAATAAATATACACAGGCACTGCAGATGCCTATGGCCTGGAAAGAACTGCATGTTCCAAAGAATTATAGAGACAACAATAGCTACAGCAAGTTTCTTGCCAGCAAGTATTAACTCACGGAAATAGAATAACAAACTGAGGAAAGTGGGTTATATTGTAAATAAGATCTCATTGATGGTTTGGGGCTCGGTGGCCTAGGTAGTAGGCGCATAGGAGTTGGCGCAGGCGCACTAGCAGGGGCACTTGACACACGTGCAATGTCAGGGCACCGTTAAGGACCCAACTGTGGTGGAAGATGGCGTCCACCTTCAGGAAGTCAAACGTGTCCTCCACCAGCTACAAGAGAAAGATGGGTCCTAAGCCTGAACTCACAGAAGATCAAAAGCAAGAAGTTCGGGAAGCCTTTGACCTCTTCGATTCTGATGGGAGCGGGACCATTGATGTGAAGGAGCTGAAGGTGGCCATGAGAGCACTCGGCTTTGAACCCAGAAAGGAAGAGATGAAGAAAATGATTTCAGAAGTGGACAAAGAGGCCACAGGAAAGATCAGCTTCAATGATTTCTTGGCTGTGATGACTCAGAAGATGGCCGAGAAAGATACTAAAGAGGAAATCCTGAAGGCTTTCAGGTTGTTTGATGACGACGAAACTGGGAAAATTTCATTCAAAAACCTCAAGCGTGTGGCCAACGAGCTAGGGGAAAGCCTCACAGATGAGGAGCTGCAGGAAATGATCGATGAAGCTGATCGTGATGGCGACGGAGAAGTGAACGAGGAAGAGTTTCTTAAGATCATGAAAAAGACCAACCTTTATTAAGGAACTGGCTGGGGTCCTTGCTTCTGCTTTTGTGAAAGTATAAAAGAACAGCTGAGGTCTGTTCCTTCTTCCTGCCTTTTGTCTTGGTTGGCTTCTAAGCCTCTAGGTCAATTATAAATTTTGAAGATACTATGTGAGTTCTGTTGTTTAATTCTCAAGAATAAATCTCAATTAAAGATCTTCGAAGCTGGAGTCCACTCACTGCTTGCCATGTTTCCTGGGTCAAACAAAACTGTGGTTCTCTGGTCACTTTAGTGATTTTAAATGGCATGCATATACTAGTGATTCCTTCATTTCAAGTTAAGAATACTAGCATGGTCGGTTAGAATTTGCCAGAAGGTTCATTCTAGCTTTTCACCTAAGTGGATACTGCTCTGAAGGATACTAATGTGGCTAATTAAGAATTACTTAAATTAAGGAAAGATGTTCCTCAATAGAACTTTGCTTGCCCTTCAAAAAAGAAGTGTAGGCTTGTTGAGTGTGATGACACACAGCTATAATCCTAGCACTTGGGAGGCAATGTGCAAAGCTAGCCTAGGCTTATGTAACTCCAGGTCATCTGGACAGTATAGAGTGAGACCCTGTCTCAAAAAACAAAAGAGTATTGGGGAGATAGCCCACTTGGGAGAGTGTCTGTTGTGCAAGCTTGAAAATCTGAGTTTGGCTTTCCAAACTCAGGATAAAGTCCAGTGATACCCCCAAAGCTTGGAGATAAGCAGAGCAGATCATACAGATTTCTAGAGCTCCTAGAGTATCCAGCTTTAGCCAATCAGAGAGCTTTAGGTTCAGGGAGAAATCTGTCTCAGTATAGTGAACTGTGTGTAGTGGCACACCCCTTTAATTCTAGCAATAGGGAGGCAGATGCTAGTGGATCAGTGAATTCAAGCATAGTCTGATTCCAGTAGTGAGTTTCAGGCTAGCCAAGGCTTCATGGTGAGACCCTTTCTCAAAAGAAAGGTGGTCAGCATGTATGCTGGTACACACATCCACACAAACATATACACCGCACACACAGAACTGGGACTTTAGCTCAGTTGTCTAGCAACTTTGAGGCCTTTGCACAAGAAAAGGTATATAGACTTGCCTTTGGGAGCTAGTTAACTGCAATAGTGACTGTTTTCTAGCTTGACTGCATGTCAATATATCTTCCTTTAATGAGTCTAAATTATCTACTGAGCAGTATGGAGAAAGGACATGAAGACCTAGCACAGGATAAAGCAATTTAATTGCTTAAATTAAATTAAATTAAATTAAATTAAAGTAATTTAATTTGCCTAAGCAAAGTATAACTTTTTAAAGAAATTAAGCTTACTAGTTCCGTTGTTTGTTGAGACGGGGTTCCTGTGTTCCAGACCGGCCCCATACTCAATATGTAGCCAAAGATGACCTTGAATTTCTAATCTTCCTGCCTCTTCCTCCCAAGTGCTGGGATTATAGGAGTTCATTACTACCATACCCAGTTTATACAGTGCTAGGGATGGAAGTCAGTCCTCCATGCTAGGCAAGCACTTTACCAATTGAGTCACAAACCCTTGGGTTTGTTGAGACATGGTTTTATTTGTATCCCAGGCTACTCTCAAACTTCTGCCTCAGCCATCCTAGTACTGGGAATCACATATTCAACAGCCTGTTCATTTTTTCCCCACATATCTGATGTATGGTGCTGAGGACATGACTTAGTGGGTACATTGCTTTTTGTTCAATTATGAGGACTTGAGTTTGGATCCCCAGAACCTACATATGAAGAAGCAAGTATGTCTCTCTAGCTGCAGTGCTAGGAGTCGAGGAAGGGATGGGAAAGGCAGATCCCAAGCTCACTGGCTAACCAATGCAGCCAATTAGTTCAGTGAGCCTCAAATAAGTATGATAGAAATAGAGGAAGATGCTCTATATACCCTGTTCTTCACATGCATGCAAATAGACGGACCATACACACATAACTATATTTTAAGCTACTCATTTTTAGAAATAGCAATGGCAGTTTTAATTATTAAACTATGTACATGTGTTATTAGCATTTAGCTCAAAGCTACTGTCTGCTAATTATTAGAGCACTTGGTTTGTTCTCCTGTGATATGTGGTTAATGTTACAGTGTCTAGTAATTATACTCATTTTACAAAGTCCAGTAAGCTATTTCATTGTGACATGAGTATGTATTCATACTACTTGGATTATTGTATTTGTGCTCACTACAATGGTCCACATGAAGACTCTGAATCTGAAGTGTTAGTGTCTGCAGCCTGGGTGAGTTTTTCTCTGTTGTAGTTACTTTGTCAAAACCTTTCTGATGGCAATCTTCAGGTAGTACTGTTGCTTTGACAAGTTAGTTCCTATTATGAAAATTAAGTCCAGAAAATCAGTTGGCTCCTTTAGTGACAGCCACCATCAGCCAGGAAAACAAACTGAGAAATTTTCCAGATTTGAAGCATTTAATGAACAACTTTATGTGAAGATTTCATTTTGGCTTACTTATGACCACAACATTTATCTTTCTCTTACTGATATTTGTCATTAGTGTTCAAAACTTCCATCTCAGCAGAAGCATATTATCTGAATTTTCAGTAATTTTAGAATAAGGAAGGTTTAATTTACAACACACATATACATAAATAATATAATACATAAATAAATAAAATATTTTTAAAGAAAGAATAAAAAGAGAAAACAAGCTGTCACCAACATTTCTCTTTCTCTGCTTCCTGATCATGGACAAGAAGTGATGAACTGCTCTATTCTCCTGCTGCCATGCCTTCCCCACGATAGACAGCAACCTCAATGAGTTGAAAACAAATACTTCCTTAACTTGCTTTTGTTAGGTGTGAGAAAAGTAAAATGAGAATTGAGAATGTTTGTCATGAAAACAGAATGCTCTGGATGCACATGATCTCCAAAGAATTAGGACTTGTGCCACTGGGTTCCATGAGAAAAAAACAAGGGATGGGTGTTCCAGAAAGACTCCTCAGGTGTCAGAGGAATAGTCCAGTGGTTAAGAGAGCTACTACAGAGGACAAGAGTTCAGCACCCAGAACCCACACTGGACAGCTTCCAACTGCCTGAAACCCATAAAGCTCCATGGGGTCTGATGTCCTTTTCTGATTTCCCTGGGCACCCACCCACACATATGGCAAGCATACATACACACAATAAAAACATAAAAAGAAATCTTACCAAAGAAGACTTCTCAACAGTGAAACCTTCCTGATAAATGACCATATTGTCTCAGGATTGTGTTCCTATTATTCAGTCAGGGTATAGCTACATGGCTTAAAGTCCTTTCCCCAGGTGCCACAGATGTATTATCTATTAATGTTGGATGATCTATTAGGCATCTCCACTCCAGGATGGGTTTTCAGGGTACAACATGAAGCGAAATATCTAGGCAGAGAATCTACAGACTCACAACTATTATTATTGTTGCTATTATTATTTTACCTGTGTACATAGTACACATGTGCTATGATGTACATGTAGAAGCCACAGAAAACTTTCAGGAGTTGATTCTTCCCTTTTACCATGGAATATGAGATCAAACTCAGGTTTACTAGAGAAGCACATTTACCCATTGAGCCTTAGCCCTGCAAGTTTCTTTTTTTATTTCTTTTCTTTTTTTACTTTTTTTTTTGGTTTTTTCAAGACAGGGTTTCTCTGTATAGCCCTGGCTGTCCTGGAACTCACTCTGTAGATCAGGCTGGCCTTGAACTCAGAAATCCGCCTGCCTCTGCCTCCCAAGTGCTGGGATTAAAGGTGTGCACCACCACCGCCTGGCGCAAGTTTCATTTTGACATTAGTAACTACTGCAGATTAATTTTCTTACATAATGTTTTACCACTACTATTGATGACAATAACCTTAGGATTATCTCTACATACGTCTTACATTAGACCTTGTCTGATATGTTTATAATTAAAGGTAGTATTAAGTGATGTATGTGGTAATAACTTACTAAAATTAACTTACTTTGTACCAAAGAACTAAATACATCACATAAATAATAGAACTCAGGATAACTATTGAAACAGCACATATACTGTATTATGTACCAACTCAAATCATCTGCATACTTCAATATTATATCTATTACAAAAAAAGAAATTAAGTTGATGGAGAGACTAAGCACCTTGTTCAAAATTATGTAGCTAGTAATTGCTAAAAGAAGGACTGTAACCCCATTTACTCTGGTTCTAGACTTTGGGCACAAAACTAATATCCTACCCTAACTCTACTGCATTTAACTCATTTGCCAGCCTGTGTGGGACAGAAGATGCCTTGCCTCTTAAATCACAGACTTAATAATGCTGTTGAATTTAGAACAGTTTTTGAACTCCCTATTTGGATACAACCTAAAAAGTTCCAGAAATTTATTCTGAACATTATGAGAAGATAAATATTTTTCATTCAAACTAGGCTTAATTAAAAAAAAAAAAACTCAACTTGTTTGTGGTCAACTCAGATAAAGAGCTTGAGAGGCAGGATATTGTTACCTGTAGTATGATACAATAAATGCCTTTTGAACTGGAGAGTCTAATTTCTTTCAATTGTCTGTAAATGGCCTTTGAAGGCACTTCTAAAAGAGCAGCAGGAGTTCGGCTCAGGGTCCTGACGCACAGTCTAGTCTCCATGGACCTACATTGTTCAGTCACATAGGCCATTACAGCCCTTCCCAAAGTGCACAGGTAGAGGGCGTGACTAGAGGCCTCAGGTCCTAGGGATTTACATACTAATGAAGGCCACAGGGCGGAGCAAATTAAGCATTCCTCCCTAGATCCTCCCCCTTTCTCCTTCCCTATTTAACTCGGGACTGCCCTGAGTTTTAGGGGGGCGGTACATCCAGATTCATCCACCCTCTGCCATGACAATAAACCCTTTTGGAACCAAGGATTTCCTCGTGTCATTGGGGCCTGCTGTCGTCCTCCTGGCTGCTGGAACCATAGACCTTCTTGTGTATGTGGGATCCGCAGTGTGGAAAGCCTCCCGGACCCCACCACCGCTGTGGCGCCTATTTTTCCCCATACTATTTCCCCTGCCAATGTGTTTGAGGCTCTTTCTCACTTTCATCTTTTAATATATTCAGTGTATCTGGTTTTATGTGGAGGTCCTTCATCCACTTGGACTTAAGCTTTGTACAAGGAGATAAAAATGGATCAATTTAATACCCAGGAATGCTGGCATATCTGTGAGTACAGGTAAGTACAGCACTTCAGCTCTGAGGGACCTGCCCAGAGACCTCAGGACACTGGAACTGAGGAGCATCCTGGGACATGATCCTTCTGGTTTCTGACTGCATCCAGATCTGCTACTGTGACACAGCCCCCAAGCTGATCCTATGCCACAGGGCTCCATACCCAAATACTGCTGGCACACCTGTGAGCATAGGTAACAGCAAATTTCTCCTCAAATTTCTGACCCAAAGAGGGACCAGGTAAGAGTCACCAGGACACAGGAACCAA